CTAAGTTAAGGCTGTAACCAAGTTGTTTTAGTTACTAAGGGATATACTTTTTCTAGGCTGCTGCTTCTTTCTTTACTAGAAAGGCATGAAACAGAGGAACTTCTTGAGCTTCTTCTTTCTTTTCTCTTCTCTTGTTGTTACAGGTTCATGGCTACTGCTGCTGCTGAAAGATGCCGTCGCTCTATAAGAGTGTGATGGACCTTCATCATTTGTACACTCTGCCTTCAGCCTCTTAATATCCTGTTCTGGGGATGACTTACTGGGGAATTCGGCTTTGTTAGAAGGACCTGGTTGAGTGTATTTGGCTGCAGCCGCGCTCCCACTAATATAAGATTCTGCCAGTAGGTTTCAAGAGTAAGCAGAACTGAATATGTTTATTACAAATAAAAGGGTGGCACATTCAGTTTGTGATCACAAGAAAGATGTGATGTCAAGCTCAAGCACAACGGACATTGCAAATTGTTACATGCATCCTAATGCATTATTTTCATAGATGTCATCTTATTTGAGATGGTTAATAAATCCAGTCCAATTCCATGTTGATATAAACATCAGGATTTGACTTTCTGAATCATGCATGTACCTTGATGTAGCTTCTTTATCTGAGGCGTCAAGATTTGTAAGACGTTATTCGTAAATACATTTGCAATAGTCGTCAATGATTTTCAAATCCATTTTCTGTTGTGCAATTCCAAGGCCAAAGCTATATGTTGGCATGTTTTAAAGGATTGAATTAAAGAATAAGCTGTGCTCTACACATTCATGTGTTTCTCACTAATGTTAAATCACTTTCAGTTTTTGTTCCTTCGAAATGATGAGTGAAATCTACCGGAAACAGCCCCTCTGCCTTCAAGAGAGCCTTCAAGAGAAGGCAGGGGTAAGGTCTGCATACACACTACCCTTCCGAGACCCCACTTGTGGGATTACACCCCGTTTTGTTGTTGTTGAATAAGTATGTGAAATGATGACAGAACAAATTCTTCATGACAATCAACTAAAATAAAGATTGATGAACCAATTCTTCATATGATTCTTAGAGGAGTGAATTTTTTTGACTACTATAGATTAAGACGAGCTAATAACCGAGAAATTAACTCATAATAAATATGAAGCATCCGGATGCATGATGCATGACCTCGAGCTCCCTACAATATTATTGCCTGGATATCTTGGGGTAACAATTTGTTTTTTTCGAAATAGTTCTTGAGAATTAGAAAAATATCAAAAGAGGAGCAGTGTTTTCGACCACCATGCACAGCCATTGATACAACTTTTACTTAGCAGACAAGTAGAAGCACAGGCGATGCTGTCTTCCTAAAGGTCTAGAAGTTGAAATACAAGTAAGGTATACAGAAATGTACTGAAGTCATAATCAAAAGGAACATGCGAGGGCAAAGACGTTTACATACCTAAAGGTGCAGGCGGCATAACCACATCATTTGCTCTTCTGCACATCATTATTCGATAATTGCTAGTTGAACCTTTTCCATGCAAATCTTGGTTCTTCTCATCATCGAGATCCCGTAAAAATGCCATAGAGTCAAAATACTCATCAGATGCCAAGCTCTGGCGACTTGAATTCACTGAACTAGACGAATGTGATGCTACACCAACAAGGTCGTTCAGTTCCAAGTAGTCCTCTCTTAAAATGCAATCCAACTCAGCTACTATATCATCATCAAAGTGATCTGGCCTAATCCCTTCTGTCTGGTTCTTTACCTGTAAAAGAGATTAGATGGTCGTGGTAACATCTAACAGCATACAAACAAATTACCAGGGCAAGAGAAGTGCACTGTGGAAAAATACCACTAGAACAAAGAGAATGTAATGTCAAAGAATGCTAAATGGAACAGTGTTTCAAGTGATCTAATCACAAGGTTGGAAATCTGATGTCAATAACCTGGTATGCGTACCAGAAACTTGTTCTATCACCAAATGTGCAATTAAAATGATGCTTATCACAGATTATTGTGCCACAATCATCTAGGTGTACAAGACAACAACAACTACTACTACTACTACTACTACGCCTCAGTCCCAAACAAGTTGAGGACGGCTATATGAATCCTCACGTTTTTCTTTAAGCTCAATACATATCATCATCATACCAACAATTATCTAGGTGTAGTATCCTGAATATTCAAACTGATCTCAGGATTTTTTAACCATAAAGATGAATGAAGCAGGAAAATACGAACCATCAACAGTTGAACTCAAGCTCATTCAGAACATTCTACTGGCTTTATTTTGCCCCACAGACAAGCTACACCGACATACAGAATACATTTAACAAGAAAACTACGTCAAAACTATCTGGATATTAGCAACACTGTAGTGACAAGTGAAAAAGGGGAAGAAGCAGCACCAACCTGGGGTTCACCTATTGAATGTTGCCCATCGTTACTGCTAGTGTGTGGGGTAATTGATGGCATCAAGCTGAGTAAGAGGGTGTCAAGATCATCGTTTCTGTGCTCTGGCTTTGTCTCATTATTGACTTTGTTTATGTTCTCTGGCTTTCTCTCATTATTTAAGTTCTCATCACTGCAACTGAAAACTCTACAAAGTGCAGACTCCTGAAAAAATATCCAACCAAACCAGCAATTCACTTGCGTGTTTGACAAGACTGAAGCAACAAATTATCAGGTATTGGAATAGAGGAAAGATGGCAATAAAGATTACCTTTGACTTAGTGTGATCATGCTGCTCTTTCAGTGTTATTTTGTACTCTTGCATCATCCAGACAGTTTTCTGTCCAATAGGGGCTTGGGCTTCAACAAATTCAAAAGTGGTTCTCCAACCATAGATAGCAGAATTTGCAAATATTTCACAGGATTCACCTTTTGCTCTCCAGAATCCGTATTTCGTCTCTTTTTTCTCATTTGAGCTTACTAGAAACCATGCTCCAGCTACGTGTACCATGAATGGTTAGTAAGAAAAGAGATTCAAGCTGCCTCAAAGTAAATTGATTATTAAATGCAATCACCAGAACCATACTCCAGCTCTATTCTTGGGGAACATAGATAATTTAGTCAACTATGAGGGATTAAAAAACCAAGAATCTATTGAAGAGAGACAGGAACATGTGTCAGAAGATATTAGATTTACACCTAGAAGGTTGTCGTTCTATTACTTTAATTATTTACTTATCTTCTTGAAATAGAAGGGTGGCTTTCTTAGATTCATAAATTATATCCATAATGTTGCATCATATTGCTCAAAATCTAATAGGACGTTGATGAGTTGGGGCGCTTAGGATATTAAAATCACGATCTGGTATTTTACAATCTACTTCACTCCAAGGCGCTTTATCCTTTTTTCAACAAGCTCTATCAAGGAATAAAAATTAAATGGGGCGTTAAGATCCAATCCTCCTTCCATTAAAAGCAAATCAAGTTTTAGATTTCCTAATTGGATACAGCCATTTGAAAACGGTGTAGATGATAAAACAATTTTCTTTTGCAAATAGGATAGTCGATTATTTAGATAGATTCTATGAACATCATTTCATTGATAAGAGGAGTGTGATTTCAGATTTCCTAATTGGATACAGCCATTTGAACACGGCTTAGATGATAAAACAAATTCTTTTGCAAACAGGATAGCGGGTTATTAAGTCAGATTTTATGAACATCATTTCATTGATAAGTGTAGAGTAAACTGACAGCATAAATAATGCCGTTAGACTTGATGTTTACCTGGCAAATTTGAAGGATCGTACTGATAAAGATTGTCAACAATCACATCATCAGGGATAGGTGATCCACAGTTGATTTGGTCAAGGGAGAAAATGATTTGGTCATCACTCCAACAGGAACCGATAAGACCTGGGGGTGGAGCTGCCAGAGCCAGAGGACACATGGTAAACAATGAAAAAGATCAAAGGCGGAAAAGCTAGCGCTCTGATCTACTCCTTCTCTGTTGAATCAGAGACAGAAGTTAATGAGACAAAAGGCACAAACAATGACAGATACTACATCACCAAGAGCTCTTTCTATATATGACGACAACCATAAAAGAGAACAAAATCCAAAAGATTATTCAATAGATTTATCAGATACAACTTCTAACGGCCCTTTAATTTTGAAAAGGAAAAAACCCATTTTTTACAGATAATCTCGGGGGACATATCGAATCTGTCTCATATCTAAAATAGATTACCGTTATAACTTAAGGGTAATGGTTAATATAGAAGATTCGAAAAGGTAATATGAAGACACTGAGCTGGAAAAAATGATCAATTATTGATTACCAAACATGTTCATGGGTACCATGTAAAAAGAAAATGAACCAGAAGCTCAAATTGACAAGCAACAACCAGAGTTCAATCAGCCCATCCAGTTAAATTACCAGATATATCTAAAAATGTTTGAACAAAATTGGGAATCTGATGATGACAACTCTTAATGGCAAGATTGCTAGACATGGAAAATTCACCAATTAAGAAATGAATCTGTTCACTTTCAGATGTAACTTTCGTTAACTTCAAATGATAACTAAAATTGCACCAAAGATTAGCCCATTGACTAAGTCTTGACTTGAAAAAGACCTACAAAATCTCCATTTGGATGCCATAGTCAACACACTTAATTCCTTTTTTTCTCTAACTTTCATAAATACACGATTGAATAACCATCAAAACGATTATCAGTGGAAAAAGAACAAATTGTTCTTGCTTAATGCCATAATAACACGATCATCATAGAAACAAGAACCAAAGGAACCCAATAACATACACAATAAAACGATCAGGAAGAGGGCAAAAACAGCTCAAAACGGAAAATTCAGAAGAATCCTAAAGAACTAAGCATATTCTAAAGCGAATTCAGAATTGAACACGCAATAATAAAAAACAATTAGCAAACATTATCCATCAATATGGCTTTTTAATCCATCAACAACCCAACGAATTTGGGCAAATTCAGTTCAAAATCCTGAAGAACTAAGTGTAACAGAAAGCAAATTCAGAATTGAACACTCAATAATAGTAGTAACAATTAACACACAACATTATCCATCAATATGGAAGATTTTTAAGTGGGGAACAAAAAGGGAAAGCTACATAAATGAATAACAAAAAATAGAGAGCAAAAATTTCAAAGTTCTAACCTTTTTTGATGTCTTTTTTTCTCTCTCTAAACTTTCTAGTATATGATATTGCTTATAACTATACTCAAAAAAAGAGTGAAGTTTATATAGAGGTGGCTAATGTTAGTGTGACCATGGTCAGTTAATTCTCCACCCTCACAGTTAACACTTGCTACTACAGTGACACAGCTGAGTTTGTAAAGCTTTTGGCTTTGAACTTTGGTCTTTGGCCTTTTGAACCCAAAAGGAGTTCATTACGTGGAGGGCTGTGATTGGTTTGATCATCTAAACTGGGGCCATGGCGTGTGGACCCTGAATAAGAACTGGCGGGTAGTTCTAAGAAGGTTCCTTTCTGCTTTAATTTAGTATTGAGAATTCTGGCTTGGGTTTATTCACTTTTAATTATTGCGCAATGTGCTTATGCCTTTGCTGATGCCATTCATTTACTCCACTTCCATTTGTTTTGTTTTTTTTTTTCCTCTGATTGTTCGGTATTCGCATTGAATTTTGATTATAAGAAAGGATTTGCGCCGAAATTTGCACATTAAAGTTAAAGTGCTTTCCAATAAAAGCGACTTCATACTCCGGACTCGAACCTGCGACTATTGCCCTGTTTGTTACTCCAATTCTATTGATTAAGGGATCGTTTGGTTTGGTATTAGAGCATTTAATCGTGTACATAAAATCTTGCATAAGATAATATTTGGTTGGCCTTATAAGAAACAAACAACCATCATATAACTAATGCAACGTTTGATTTGTGGTATTAAATAATTCTCAAATTAAGTTATGCAGAATCTATGTGTTATTCTATGTGCGATTAAATTGAATATAAGATAAGTATATGTGTATGGTAATGCAATGATAAATTATTTAAACAAGAGCTCTACTTTTTGTGATCTTATAATTCGCCAAGAAATTGAAAAATTGAAGTTAAGAATTCAAGCATTTTGACGATATTTGGTTAAAATAAAAAATTAGAATTTAAATTTTAATAGAAAAAACTTTGGAAGTTGAAATTATTTGAATATGAACTTCACTTGAAAAGAAAAAAAAAGATTGTGAAAAGATGACTTGTAATTGAAAATCATTTTTTTCTCTCTCTAAGTATTTCAAATACTTAAGTCATATTAATATTTCAACGAGTCATCGAAATTTCAAGTATTAAAATATAGAACTACTCAAATAATATTAGGTGCATAAATGGGAACGAAATAGACATGTTTGCTCGCCCCTTTTAAGGAAGTATGTCAAAATTACTGCTTACAATTCACGCTGCGTTAGTAAAATCCTACTTAAATATAGTGGGCAACAACAACAACAACAACAACGAATCCGGTGTATTCTCATAAATAAGGTTTGGGGAGGGTAATGCATACTCAGACTTTATCCCTACCTTAAAAAAATAAAGAGGTTGTTTTCGATAGACCATCGGCTCAAGAAATAGTGGAAATAAGGCAACAAGTAGCAAACAATAGTAACAACACTATATTAAGGAAATGAGCGCGAATGACACAACATGTAATAGTAAATAATCATAAATAAGATGATACAAAAATAGTCCTAGTACTACCGGTAAACCTAAGAGGAACACACTACTATCTATCAACCTACAACCTTAATCCTCGATCTCCACGTCTTTCTATCGTAGGTCATATCCTCGGTAAGCTAGAGCAATGACATATACTGCATAAGTACCTCTCCCCAATACTTCTTACTTCTTAGGCTCGCCCCTTCCATTCCTCAGATCCGCAATGGACAACCTCTCACACCTCCTGACCGGAGCATTTATGTCTCTCCTCTTCACATGCCCGAACCATCTCAACCACGACTCCGGCAACTTGTCCTTCGTAGATGTCACTCTTACCTTGTCCCTAATAACTTCATTCTTGATCCTGTCCTTCCTGGTATGACCACACTGTTTACCTTGAAAATGACAATTACAATTAGATTTGATTTTGTGGTTATAAAAATACGTGATTTATTTTAATGCTAGTTGTTAAGTGATAGATGCTAAGTGTGAGCTAGGAAAGTAAAATAAGAGTAAGAGGCAATGTGGTTATTCAGACCAAACGGCTGCGAATCGGCGTCTCAGGCTAGCCTAAGTTGGGCCTCGAGGTCGAGCTAAAATATCTGACTGGGATGGCCGATGAAGAACTAACAGCCCTAGGGGCCTTGATGATGGCTCTTTATGATCAATGATGAGTAATAAATGAAGAACAATAAATGAAACACAATAAATGTAAGCAGTAAATCAAAGAGAAAACAATGGGGAAGGTTTAAGTTAGAGAGCAGAAAATATTCTTGTTCTTGTATTGAATATCATGTGCTTTACAAAATGACAAGGGCCCTCTTTATATAGGAGGAGAAATCCAACATAGTACATATGTATTTATTACAAAGATATGCAGCTGGTACAACTATTTAATGTCACGGTACGGACTTGTACTATTCTTGTAGACCTGGTCAGCTTTAGCCACGTGCCTTTTAGGAATTTCCCGCTTGTCTAAGATAGCCACCGATTTGCAGTGCCCCAAGGTCGAGCCTTCTGGAGACGGGCTATGGAGTGTCATAATAATCATAAAATCGGACTCTCCGATTTTAGCCGTACACAGATAGTCCCCTCGTTTCTTAAAATGAAATGATAAGGAACGATCTTAACCTCGACTTTCTCGAACATCTTGTGATGACGTCATGATCATGATGTAAGCGTTCGAAGTGACTGGAACGTCCCGTCGGTTTGTCTCCCTAGAAGTATTGAATGTACCACCGGTTTGCTTTTCCAAAAGCGGTGATCGCGTCGCCGATCCATTTCCCCAAAAAGCATTGATTGCGCCGTTGAAACGTTCTCCAAGGCCTTTGACAAGCTTAAGTCTGAGTTGCTCCGCCGTGAAATCGGGTTGCGAAAAGCCTTGGACGGGGAGAAATCCCTCAGGCTTCTTTGTGATAAAAGGGGCAAAGGAGTTGATACACCTTCGGTACGAAATGAATCGAAGCCAGAACTACGAAGGCCACCTCGAGAGACAGGTAACCTTTGTTTCGAGGGGATACATGTTTCTTCTTCTATCCTTGGAGATTAATATTTTGATACTTCAGTTGCAGAGAAAGACGGAAGACCTGGAATGCCTTAGGGGCAAAGTTGTTCTGGCCAAGTATGAGTGTAATGAGCTAAGGGCTCAAATAGATGCCCAAGTTGTGGCTAGGAAGAATGCTTTGTCCAAGGCTTCTGCCTCAAGGTGCAACTCCGGAATGATCGTGAAAATAGCTCGGTCTAAGCGAGCAGGATTGTATGGCTCGAGTCTGACCTTTTGAAGATGAAGGTCGAGGTCGTGGACGCTCAAGCTGAAGCTGAAGAGATCCGAGCTAAGGCTGATAACAAAGTTGTCGTCTATTTAAAAGACGTTGCCGACGCTCGAGCTGAGTTGAGAGGGGCTTCCGATCGGGAGAGCAGAAGCAATGAATATGCCAGGTGCAAATCTCGGAGGAAAACCCTCGAGGAGATCCACGCTAGGGGCCTTGATCTCTTGAAAGAGATAGAGCAGGCAAAGGCGGACGAATATGGCACCAAGTTCCTCTTATCCGATGCCGAAGATAATGAGCAAGGGGCCGATGGAGCCGTAGTCCCTGAGGGGAAAGTAGACTAGGCTTTTCCTTTCTGATTATGCGTACAATGCTCTTAGAGAATATTGTAAATGAAGTCTTGTATTATTTCACATATACATATAAAAAGAAGCCTTTTCGATTTCCCTTTTCATGAATTTCCCTTCGTTTGTGTATGTCTTTCGTTTGTCTGTTGACAATTGGTCCAAATTTTGGACCTCAAATTAAACCTTTAGGTTCTTGCTACTGTTGAGCGATTTGTAAGGGTCGAAAGTTGGCCATTTGGGGCTTAGTCCCTGAGTCAAGTTTTGACTTGAGTTAATCAGCCTTCAGGCCTAAAAATTGGCCCCGGGGCTATTTGAGACGACTCTTAGGCTCTTACGCGATGGGTTGGTGCAACCTCTAATCGGCCCTGAGGCTCTTTTCAATTGGCCCTTAGGCTCTTACGCGTTGAATCGGTACGACCTCTAATCGGCCCTGAGGCTCTTTTCAATTGGCCCTTAGGCTCTTACGCGTTGAATCGGTACGACCTCTAATATAGGCTGGCGCTTAGGCTCTTACGCATTTGGTCGGTACGACCTCTAATATGGGTTGGCGCTTAGGCTCTTACGCATTGGGTCGGTACGACCTCTAATATGGGTTGGCGCTTAGGCTCTTACGCATTGGGTCGGTACGACCTCTAATATAGGTTGGCACTTAGGCTATTACACGTTGGGTCGGTACGACCTCTAATCGGCCCTGAGGCTCTTTTCAGCTGGCCCTTAGGCTCTTACGCGTTGGGTCAGTACGACCTCTTAGACTGGCGCTTAGGCTCTTACGCATTGGGTTGGTACGACCTCTAATATAGGTTGGCGCTTAGACTCTTATGCGTTGGGTCGGTACGATCTCTAATATATGCTAGCGCTTAAGCTCTTATGCGTTGGGTTAGTACGACCTCTAATATAGCTTTATTTTTCCCTCGTTAAAGACTTTGTGAAGTTTTTGTGTTCGTCCGACTCTTCGATGGTTTGATAAAAACCTCTATTGTGAGCCATTATGTAACGATAAACGATCACCTCGGGAGGTTTCACTCGATGGCTAAATTGTTTCGAAGCCTTTTCATTGTTTGGAGTTGACATGATCGAAGCTCTTTTGCTTATGCCGAGGGTAGCCTGATTAACCGGTTCTTTTCGAAGTATTTTTGAAGTAATTGAATGCTTGTGATTTTATGGCGACGGTCGGGCATCCCCGAGTCGCGTTAGTTTGGCCAGAGCCTTATGACCGTAGTCATTATGTTTGGTTGTAGCCTTTTAGTCCCCGACTGAGGTAGCCTTGGCTTTTATATCGAGGGTATGCCTTTTTAGGGGTCTTACAAGTTCGAATATATAGCCTTGACTTTAAGGTCGGGATTATGCCTTTTGTAAGGTCTTATAAATTTGAACATGCCTTACTTGAGGTCTTACAGATAGGTTACTTGGCACAAGTATAATTCATGCCCTGCTTGAGGTCTTATAGATTTGGTATTGCCTTATGTAGGTCTTATATTTTCTTAGCATTACCATATGGA